CCACCATCATCTGCTCAACCTACACCAGCACCTGCCGCCTCTGAACCAGTCTCTGCTCAATCTCAGCCATCCGATCGAAGACCACCACGAAACCCTTCCCAAAGGACATGCAACAAATACTGGGTTGTTAATGTGCTAGGTAACTGAGTCGTAAACCAATATTTTAAACGGCTATTAATCTTATATGCAACTATATTTAATTCTTACAATTTTTTTTATCTTCTTCTTGCATTAACAACTTTTTACTAGCTGATAATGGAGTGGCTGATGAGGAAAGACTACGTGTGCGAGATGTATTGGTACTTCCTCCTCATAAGAAAGTAGTAGTGGAATGGAATGAGGACAATCAGCCTGTTGGGGAGGCTGCTGCCCTATTGCTTGGTTTTTTGGGTCACCTTGCATGCAACCCAAATATATTTCCTATTAGTTATGACAGGTGGCCTCATGTACCAGACATATACAAGGAAGATGTTTGGCTAAACACTATTCAGGTAAGAATGATGTTATAATTATGTCGACATTGTGTCTAATTTTGAGCTTATTACTCTCTTCCAGAGGAGATTCGTTATGGATAATGATGACCATTATCATTTCTGTGTGGGCAATATGGGTAAGAAATGGAAAGACAACAGGTGGAGGCTAGCAAATGAAATGTATGAAAAAGACAAAAGCTTTGAGGAAAATCTAGAATGTTTCCCTGATGGGATGACAAGGGAACAATGGGGTAGTTTCTTGGCTTATAAAACAAGTGAGAAAGCAAAGGTAATGAAGGATGGTTTTATTTTTTTTATTGCGGTCACTTGTATCCAACAAATACCTAAAACTTTTTTTTTGATACAATGCAGAAATATAGTAGAATCAATACTGCTAATAGACAGAAACAAACTATCCCACATACACTAGGCTCAAAGACCATTGCAAGGAGGAAAAGAGAGCTGGTATGGTTTTGAAATAATGTTAATTGCCAGTTTACTATTCATATATTTTACTTCTGTAAAATTATGGAACTAATATTATTGTGCAATGCCAAATGTCAGGAAATAGAACGTGGAACAATAGTGACCAGGGGGGAAATGTATGCTGTTGCTCATAAGAAAAAGTGTGGAAATTTTGTGAATGAGGAAGCTAGGCTGAAAAATGTAACCAATTTTTGTTGTAATTTATTTTGATTAATTACTGTCATACCTTTCAGGTACACTACTTGATAGTTAATTGATTGTATGCAGGAGCAATTACTAGTACAGATGCAACAAACCAATTCTGAAGTAGAGGCTTTTATTAATGTATTTGGGAAGGAACACCCAGGTCGGGTTAGAGGCATGGGTTTTGGGGTGGTTCCAACCCAGATACGTAGAACATCAACTAGTTCAGCCTCAACTTCTTCTAGTAGTCCTACACAAGCTGAATATGATGCCCTAAAAGAAGAGCTGGACACTATAAAAGGCAAGATGGAAGAGCTTGACACATTGAAAGCACAAATGGCACATTTTCTGCAAAATTTTGGAAGTCAATTGCCATCTAATCAGGTAAATGTGTCTTAAATCTGCTTTGGGATTTCTGATATCATATTCATTCTTGTTATATAGTTGACAAACCCTTATAATTTGGATAACCATTATGCATGTCCATTTCATATTAACATTGAAAATAGATCTCAATACTGTTCTTCCTATTAATTGTTGTCACTTCCAATGTTGTTTACATATTGTCGCTGGACCTTGTTATATAATTGAAATTGCTATCATCTGCCATAAAACTCTGCATGTCAATTTAATATTACGTTTTAAAATAGGTATCATCATTCTCTTGTAATAATTGTTGTCATTGGTCTAAATACTGTCATCTTATCTTGTTATATAAATCATATTGCCATCACTTGGATAAAAAAATGTATATGTACCTTAAAGTTTGATCAATTGCTGTAACTTGGATCTACATTTGTTGCTTAGATCAATGCTGTCAGAATATCACATGCATTTCTTAATGTGTGTTGCTTGACTCTGTGATGCTTTGTCGTTTTTATACTGCATGTTCACTTGTCAACTAAATCAACATTGCTCCTTTAGGAAATTAGGTAGAATGTTACAATTTTCAGTGTTGTGGTATTTGGGACTGAATTATGAAAATGGGGTAGGAACTCAACTTAAACCACTAAAGCTCAAATTGGCAGGAAGTCAATTTTCATACATGTGTTCTCTTGCCTAATTCTTTTACTGTTCCTGAACTAAATATTTTGTAAACATTGTCTTCGATTAATGTATGATTTATTTCCCCCCAAAATTTCAGGTTCCTGACATGGGATCTCCTGGAATTAGAAAGTCCTCCAATGCTAGTCATAACCCTTCTCTTGGACCAGAATCTTCAAATCATGGACCCACACCACTAGCATCTTAATATTGGACATCATTTCAAAGTTTTTGATGGAACATGTATTGTGGATATTAAGTTCCCTGAACCACTGCTTGTGCACTGAGTGCTATATTAGATGTTTGACATTATATTTTAAATTTTCATGTTTTTGATGTTAAGCATTTCCTAGGTATGTTTTGCTTATTACCTAGGAATAGGTTTTATATTTTTGGTGGTTTTGTATATTCAGTGCCACCCCAATATGTATGTCACTGACTCATTCTGTTTTGGATGTTAGGAATTTCCTGGGTATGTTTTGCTTATTACCTAGGAATGGGTTGTTTTGGATGTTAGGAATTTCCTTGGTATGTTTTGCTTATTACCTAGGAATAGGTTTTATATTTTTGGTTTTTTTGGTTATTCAGTGGCACTCCAATATGTATGTCATTCACTCCTAACGTCAATATTGAATACATATTTACCTTTTTTTGTAGTCTTCTACTCAATGCTCAAATATCCCTTTTGCATAAATTACTATTACATATTACAATATAGGATTTCTTATAAAAATAAAATAAATTTTTTTTTTTAAAAAAAATTATGCAAATTGCTAGCGGGTTATTAAGACCGTCGAGTACAATAAATTTGCCGACACAGTTAACGGACACCATACCCGCCTGTATTTTGAGTTCTAGCGGTTCATCTAACCGCATGCAATAATTATTATTGCAATTCATGAAATTAGTCTGACGACATCAACCGCCAATTAAAACGCTTCCATATGTTTAAACCTGGCGGTTAATCTAACCGCTTGGAAATATTTTTTATGCCATTGATGAAGTCATCTTCGACGACATAGGACGTCACGTGGGCCGCCCTGAAATGTCAGTGGCTGATATTCCAGCGGTTTATCTAAACCGCCTGTGAATGCATCGCGACAGTAATAACCCAGACGGATTACAAACCGCCAACTGAAGAAAACAAAGGCGGTTTTAACCGCCTATATATATCAAACAAACCGCCTGCAAATACCTACTTTCTTGTAGTGTATGCAGCTCGGCATTGTTATGAATTGCTGTACTACAGTTCTATGGTTACTCGGATTCTTGGTGCTTGCTAATTTGGACAAGATATCAGCTCGGCTATTCTCCCCTCGAGGGATGTGAGTAACCTGCACCTCATCAAAATCAACCATCATTTCTTGAACTTTGTTCAAGTATTTCATTAGTAGAAGACCTTTGGCCTGATACTTTCCTTCTATCTGCGAAGTCACCAATTGCGAGTCACTGATGATTTGTATCTTTTTAGCTCCGTGTTCTTTAGCTTGCATCAAACCAACTATCAGAGCTTCATATTCTGCTTGATTATTCGAAGTCGGGAATCCCAAGTTTAAGGAGTGTTCAATTGTTACTCCTTCTGGGCTTTCTAGTATGATTCCAACACTGCTTCCTTTATTGTTGGAGGATCCATCTAGGTAGACCTTCCATGCACCCCCAAACTCTTCGTGTTCCGGGTTCAACGGTGTCAGCTCCATTATGAAGTCGGCCAGAGCTTGTGACTTGATGGCCTTTCGACTTTCATATGCTATGTCGTACTCACTGAGCTCAAGTGCCCAGTTAGTCATTCTTCTTGCCAGGTCCGGCTTATGTAACACCTGCCGTATAGGCTGATTGGTCCTAACTATTATTTGATGCCCCTGAAAATATGGTCGTATACTCTTGGCCGTGATCAGCAAAGCAAAAGCCACATTTTCTAGCTTTTGATATCTAACCTCTGCACCTTGTAAGGCTCTACTGACGAAATAAATCGGCTCTTGGCCTTGGTTGGTTTCCTTGATCAGGACAACACTTATTGCCTCCTCCCCCACAGCTAGATACAGGATTAGAATGTCTCCTGGGTCTGGCTTTGAGAGAACTGGTGGAGTTGCTAAGCATTTCTTGACTTTGTCGAACGCGGCTTGGCACTCCAGGCTCCATCCTTCTATTGCTTCCTTCTTTAATAATTTAAAGAATGGAAGGGCATTCTCAGCAGACTTCGGCAGGAACCGGGTTAGCGCAGCCAACCGACCGGTTAACTGCTGAACCTCCTTTTTATTCTGGGGTACTTTCATATCAAGTACTTCCTTGCATTTGTCAGGATTTGCTTCAATTCCTCTATGAGTTAGCATGAAACCCAAAAACTTCCCAGCTGGGACTCTAAATGCACATTTTACTGGGTTTAGACGGATGCGGTACTTCCTGAGCTTTTGGAATGTCTGCTCGAGATCCTGGACATGATTCGTCATATCAAATGACTTTACAATCATATCGTCAATGTATACTTCTACATTCTTACCCAGCTGATCTTCAAACACTTTATTCATCATCCTCTGATAGGTTTCCCCTGAGTTTTTAAGCCCAAATGGCATTACATTGTAGCAATAATTGGCCTTTTCAGCAATAAAGACGGTTTTTTCTTGATCCCCCGGTTACATTGGAATCTGGTTGTATCCCGAGTAGGCATCCATAAAGGACAACAAACGAAATCCAGCCGAGTTATCTATCAGCTGGTCTATGTTAGGCATACGATAAGAATCCTTTGGGCAAACTCTGTTCAAGTCCGTGTAATCAGTACAAACTCTCCATTTCCCATTTGGTTTTTTCATCATCACCACGTTCGCAAGCCATGTTGTGTACTGTATCTCCCGAATGAACCCGGCATCCAACAGTTCCTTAACATGTTCTTCTAGAACTTGTTTCCTTTCTGGTCCCAACTTTATTTTCTTTTGGGAAACCGGCATGGATCCAGGATAAACTACCACCTTGTGGCAGCAGAAGGCAGGATCGATGCCCGGGATCTCAGACGACTTCCAAGCAAACACATCCGTGTTGCTCTTGAGGAAGTCGGCTAATTCTTCTTTCACTTGAGGATCTATGGTCTTACCAATTCGGGTAAATTGACCAGGTTCTTTTCCCAATGTGAGGTTTTCTAGCTCTCCATCAGGTTCGGGTCTTGGTATTATTTCTTCTCTCATGTCGAGTTCAACCACATTAACAAGCTTCCTGGAGTGGTGCGGAATTGTGTTCTTGCCTTGTTTATCCCCTGCATGAATCTGGGGTGGACCAGTATGTCCATCTTCATTATCTTTGACGGTGTCGAAATAACATCCCCTGGACTCCTTTTGATCCCCACAAACAGTAATTATTTCACCCTTACTGCTTAGCATCTTTATCTTTTGGTGTTTCGTGGAAACCAGCATGTCCCACTGGCGTATAGTTGGTCTCCCGAGAATTATATTATATTCTGACGGGAAGTCGGCCACTATAAATCTTACTCGTTCTGATTTGAACGCTTCTTTTGTTCCCAGGGTCAACCTGAGATCTATGTAGCCTTTAGGAGGTGTATGCTCTCCATTAAAAGCTATCAAAGTTGATTTGCAAGGTTTGAGGTCCTCTTCATCCAGTTTCATCTTTTTAAAAGCGTCCCACAGTATGATGTCGGCACTACTCCTTGCATCAACAAAAATCTTCTTAACCCGGCAGTTTACCAGGGTTCCAGCAATGACTAGTCCATCAACATGTCCCGGCAATACTCCGTGCATGTCCTCCTTTGTAAAATACAACAAAGGAGGATTCGGTTTCCTTGGGTCTTCCTTGAATTTAGGACGGTCCCGAATTGAAAGGACCTCTTTCAAGTACTTCCTTCTTGCACTTAAAGTGTCGCCCCCTCCTCCAAGGGCTCCACCGATTACGTTGCAGTCGAATTCTGCTTCCAGGAATTCGTCAGGGTTGGAATCATCTTTGTAGTTCCTTTCATCCTTGTTTTTCTTTTCAGGAACCGGGCTTTTACTTCTCTTTCTGTTTCCTGACTTCCTTTTTCGGGAGCCCTGGGTTTTGATCACATAGTGGCATAATCGTCCATCTCTCACAAATTTCTCCACAGCATCTCGGAGATCCCAGCATTGATCAGTTGTGTGACCCGGTCCATCATGGAAAGCACAGTATTTGGACTTATCCAGACCTCCTCTGTCAAATATGGGTCGGGGTCTGTCTACTCTCTTCATCTTCGTCATTGCCACTTCTCTCCAGATTTGAGAGCGTAACGCATTCAATGGTGTATATTTATCATACCTTCTAACTCGATCTCAGGTATCCAGGATTCTGGCCTTAGGATCTTTTTCCTTATTGTCAACTTGTCTGTGGACTTGTGGATCTTGACTTCCATCGTACTTTGGCAAGCGTGCCGAGTCGAAATCCTCCGGGAAAGGAGCATTCAGTATTTCACCAGTAAAAAGGTTGTTGTTATACTGCCCCCTACTGTACTTCCTTCTGTATCCGCCAGATTCCATGCGTCCTCGAATGATCTGAGCATTCTGGTTGGGATGGGTCCCATCCCGGTCCCCCTAGCCATTAGCTTGTGCCAGATGATTTTGAGCATTTTGGCCATCAGCCGCCTGGTTTCCCAGGTTCGGGTTCGTTGCGTTCGCCGGGTTGGGCCTTTCACGATTTTCCTCCTCAGGAACCCGGTTCTGCTGAATCAGGTTGCGAGTTCCTTCCCGGACATTGGCAGGCTGGCCTTCAGTTTCTGTCGCCCCTGGTCCAGTCAGCTGCGTTAAGCGTTGTTCCAGGTCTCGCATTCCCCTATTATTTTCCCCTCGTATCGTCCGAAAATCTTGCTGCCGTTGCAGGTTATTACGAGTTTCCAACTCTGCAATTCGCTCTATGATCGCAGCAAATGCGTTCTGAGCCAGCCGAGTATCTGGATCGGCTGATTCGGCAATACGCGCAGCAAGATCCTCAGGATGTTGGGAAGGGTTGTTACTTATCGAAGCTATAATTGTGTCAGCCCCCTATCTTGACGCGCTGGAGTGGACGCGGTGTCTGTGGACTTGTGGATCTTGACTTCCATCGTACTTTGGCAAGCGTGCCGAGTCGAAATCCTCCGGGAAAGGAGCATTCAGTATTTCACCAGTAAAAAGGTTGTTGTTATACTGCCCCCTACGTATTGATTCATATCTTGGATTGCCCCTTGTTGGGCTTACCACTTGATGGGCCCCTTATATGGGT